GTCACAAATGGGCTATTTTCTTCATGTCTTACAAATTTCTCTAAAACATCTAGTGATCCATTTGTTTTAATTGGACTTTTAAGAGAACCCAATACCTGACCTACTTCCACTGATATATTCTTGAGCCATTTTATCTGTTATTATGTTCTGTTTGATTCTTGTTTTGTTCGAAAATCATCCAGGTCAGGGTGGATTGTTTGTTCAAGCAATGATAGTGAGAATAATATTGTTTATTTTCATATCTAGTTTATAAACAGCTAAATTGTAATGATTATCTAGTTTTTTGGTAAAATGATTTATGTGTATGTAATTTTAATTGATGTTATTTAACATTTTTTAGCATCAGGCTTTTCAAAAGCAGTGTTTTAATCACTATCTTTGATTTTTCAATCCTTGGTGTATTTTTCCACTGATAATAAAATGAGAGTGTCATTCAGAGGGTCTGTGTTAAAGGTTATCAGGTATGTCAGCTGTTCCACTCAGGGTTCATCTGGATTTAGTGCTGAGAGATTACACGGCTCTTTGTACTCATGAAGGTAAACCATCACTGATGTCTTCTTTCACATTATAAAATACTATCGTAGAACTGATCAGCGTAGTCTGGTGTTAGTTCAAACCAAGGCAAGCTTATCAGACTTGCACGAGCAGTAAGATCAGACACGCGATGTTGTGTTGAGCGAGGGATTTTTGTAACAACATTGTGTTGAATTTGTGTGTGTTGTTGTGTGTTGTGTGTGTGTGTGTGTGTTGTGTTGTTTGTGTTGTGTGTGTGTGTTTGTGTGGTGTGTGTGGTGTGTCTCAGGACAGGATATGTGATGTGTTAATCTCTTGTGTTTGAAGCTGCCTACTGAGATACCTTGGGACGCTCCGAGCTTCTTTGACGACACAAGTTGTGATGTGCGATGGATGGTCTCTGGTTTTGTGTCTGACTCGGTGTAGTTTTTTTTTTTTCTGCAGCTGAAAGTTAAAATGGCTGATTTAATGAAGACAAAACTAACCTTATGTCACACCTTAATAATTATTTATGTATTATTGTCTATTATATCTCTTTGAACCAACAATTAATGTTCATTGAATTATTGATTTTCTTTTTTTTTTTGTTTTATTTTTACTTTTGTGTTTCTGAGGGCGGTTCTCATTTCTCTATCTACTTCTATGTAATATTGTATATATTTGTGGTGTCGTGTATTCTTGATTTTTTGTGTTGAGTGATTATTGAGCTAGTTCTTGTGTCTATTATCAGTTTACAACACTTATGTTGCAACTTTTAATTTTTGATTCGAGTCTTGCATCCTTCAGTTAACCTGATGTTTTCCAGATGCTAATAATTTTGGTTGTCTATTTGCTTTGGGACAGTGTTTGTGTGCCACTTTATTTTTCCACCTCAGTTAACAAATTACTGTGCGTACATTGTATTAATATATTTTCATTAGAATATTCATTTGAAATCGAAGGTTACACAGATGTTGTGGTGCTGAAATTTTTTCTCCTTCTACTAGCTCATCTGACCGATTTAGTATTAGTCTGAGTATTGTGGAAGTTGGTAAACTCCTGCTGGTATGGTGGAAGGTTGTGTCATTCTTTCATTTTTTGCCGTTTACTGGCTACAGTCAGTGAAATGATGTGTACTTAGTCATGTGTTTTAGTGTCACATGTAGCATAGTGACAGATGTATGTTTATTTATTTTTGTTATGTTTTTTTTTGTAGTGAATATTATATAGATATTTTGTAATTATTAACTGACCAACATGTGCATTGTGTGATTCACTGAACCATCTCTCATACATAATTATTTAATTATTCTACCATGGATTTTTTGTTTTTTTATTTTTTTGTGTTACATCATGATTCTACGTGAAACAGTTGTGTTATTCACAAGGTGACATTTAGATTGTTTAGCAACATCTGGATATTAACCCTTTAAATTGGTCTACTTTGGACTCTAATATCTTTGTCCGTTTATGAGCATCCAGTGTAAAACTCTTTTGTGTGTATATTGGTAATTACATATACTTAGTCGAATTTCTTATTTTTTACAGTATATTAGTGTAATATATCTATCATACATAAATAATGATTCCTGTTCCAACAGTCATTTCAGTGCACATTTAAAGTTTGAAATCATGTTAAAGAGTACGGCTAGATGTGTATTACTGTTAACTTGCATGGTGTCCGTGTGTCTTTCTCACACTGTATATCCTGTCATTTAAGACAGGAAGACATTATTTATTATTTACCTTTAGTCTAACACACAGTTGTTTGTGGATTACCCAAAATGTATTGCACTTGTCCTGTCTCACCTACCACTGCCTGTCCTAATCAGGGGAATTGGTAGGCAAAAACAAAATAACACCGGAATTTTTCCATTCCTTACACTGTTTAATTGACCCTGATAGGAAAAAAAAGTTAAAGATGCGGTAAAATCATAGAGTTAGGATAGAAACATCCACAGTGCTAAAAGAATCTGAACTGAATTCACAGAAGGTTAGCTATCATGCAAACATGGAGCCATTGTTCTGTTAGTTTATAAAAGAGAAGTGGAAGCCCTTTTCTTAATCACCATCCAATTGATTGATTTCCATCAAGTTGTGTAGCTTGCCCACTTTGATATTTCTTTGGGTCAGTTGCCTCCATTTAGGAATTGTCCTAATCAAAGGATTTCCTTACTACAAAACCTGAGATAAGGGCAAGGGATTGAGGAAGATAAGAAACAGAGGCAAAGTAAGGGGCCCATTTGGCACAGTAAATGTCCTATTTCCATTTAGATATACGTCGTGCATCTGCTATTTGAATGAGGTGCTTCCATCTAAACAGATGCAAGCAAAGGCCTTGTTAACAAAGTTATAAATGGCACTATCTGGACTTCTAATTGGTATTTGTGCAGGTATTTGCTTCTAACAGTTCTGTGTTTTCATCAAGTAAAGAAAAACACAAGGACTGTACAATGCTAACTACTACATTTGCAGTTACAGTCCAAACCTCCTGTCCGCTGGCGCAGAGTCACACCACACTGAAAGGCTGTCGGACACCATAACATTTGATGTAACTGATAAAAATTCAAAACAACTTTCCCTTATTTGTTTTGGGAGTTTATGTAGCAAAAAACTAGCAGAGACATTTTTGTACAAAATCTCCTGAATCTTCTAAACAATCAAACCAAGATCATTGATTATTTTTTTTTCATATTCATAAAAATATATGAATAATAAAAGATAAGAAAAAAAACATAAAATTAGTTTTAAATTAAAACTTGATTAAAATCATTCAGTCTTAGGGTCTGTGGAGAGCACGGTCAACATAAAGTGTTGTTGTTTGACAAATGAGGGCCGATATCACTGCACACCGCTGGTGTATCACTATGTGTGTTGGTGTAATGAGTTATTGTATTTTCTGTACTTATGGGGTTTAAATTATCCTTAGTAGAATAGAAAAGCAGGAAATACTGGGCCCTCATGCAGGAGGCGATAATACAAATGCTCTCTTATCTTTGTTTAGTACACATTGGATTTCTGGGATTCACTATTGCTATCTTACTTTTTGCTCTTCCTTCTTAGGTAAAAAGAACATTTCATGAGAAAAATCACCTTGTTTCAGAGTCCACACTACTGTCCAACACAAGAAACACGTTTTAAAATTAAAGTAACATTAAAAATTTAAATATAATTTTGATCCACATATTTTAAGTAAAGTAATTATAGTGATTTATTAATTTTGTGGGCTAAGATATACCTTTGGTCCCATTCATCCCTAATTATTAAATGAACTTAAAAACCCTTGCATGATGTTGTGTTCATTCATCTTTCTGAATGGCTTACATAGGCACTTTAGTTATCCAGCCTTACGCAGAGATCCGCACAGATCTATTGTAATGAGGCGGATTGAATGGCTGCTTTTAGATTTTGTGGCAATACTCCAAAGCCTTTTTAAAAAAAGGGGCCAACCAGAGAAAGCCAACTTGTTAAGAGGGCCTTAACTCACTCTTCACTGTTCATCTGCCAATCCTACAAACATAGACTGTTATGGAATAATTGTAAAACTAAATAATCAAATATTTTGTCTTGCGGCACTGAGTGTATAAATAAGAAAAACAATGGTCATATTTAATTTAACTCTGGTGTGTAGTATAAAGTAATGAGGTGTTAGTAAAGTCTAGGTAGCATTAGGTGGTTTGGATAGTGTTTAAATTGAAAAGAAAAAAAAATAAATAAATACAATTTAAATTTTGCTCTTGACCTTGATTACAGAGCTACAATGATTAGTCAATTCATTGGTTATTAAAAGTCATTTTTTAAGGAACAATTAAAAAAGTTATCTGCTTCCAACTTCTCAAATGTGAATATTTTCTGGTTCCTTTAACCTTTTCTGATAGAAAACAGAATATTTTTGAGTTTTGAACAGATGGTCGGACAAAACCAGACATTTTAAAATGTCACCTTGTGATTTTTCAGCAGGTTTAAAGGTAGAATTAGAGTAGGGATATTAGCTGAAGGTTCATGTGTGTATAAGTACAGAAATACAATAGTGTGTCTGTTTGTATGTTAGCTAAGAGGTGGAGGTGGTGGCGGCGGTGGTTGTGGTGGCAGGGAGGCCTCTATGTCCGCCTTGCTGCGTTTGGCCGGCAGTGTGTGGTCATGAGCTTTGCGAATGTGTCGGTACAGGTCGCCTGATTGCGTGTAGCTCCGGTAGCAGTAGCGACACTCGTAAGGACGTTCACGTGTGTGCACGATGGCGTGGCGCCTTAGTGTGTATGTACATGAGAAAGTCTTTCCACACACTCCACACGTGGGGACATCCTCCACAAAGTTCCCCATAGAGTCCTGGAAGTCCTGGAAGTAGGCAGGAGCGTCTGAATGCTGCTGAGCTGTGGATGGAGGAATGAGGGAGGCGGCGAAGGAGGAAGTGTCCTGGGAGGAAGGGCCGGGACCGGAGGAGGAAGAGGAGGGAGAGAGGGGAAAGGAGTAGTCATTCGAGTGGGAGGTCATTTGTAAGAGGCCCTGTTGGTGGGAGGAGAGAAACTGGGGGCTGTTCAGCTCCTCTTCTGGGATGTCATCTTCAAACTCATCGTCCACTTCCATCACTGGTTCTCTCTCTCTGCTCTCCTCTTTCTCCTCCTCCAACTCTTCGTCAGATATAACAATGGCCTCCACTTTGACTTTCACATTCTCTCTGTCACTGTCTTCTGTCCTCACTCTGCCCATAAGAGGGTGAGATCTTTCATTTCTAGTGGCATGTGAAGCTCTCGTATCCCCCTCATCTACCCTAATGGTTTGGGTCTGAGCGGACTGGATGTCCAAGCTTTGGCGTTGGAGTGACACAGCGCTCTGGATTCGAATCTGGGAAAGTGCGCGCTGCGGGGGCGGGTGTGTTGCGTTTGTTTCTAAGCGTGGGGTTAGTGCCGATGCTTGGAATAACATGATCATCTGTTGTCCTCCGCCTGATATATTTCCGTGGTCCGTCTCTGAGGGTTTCCTAACAGAGTCTTCACTGGCCAGTCGGGGGACGTCCTGCTGGGGGCCGGGGGAGAGGCTGGACTCTGACTGGGAGAGAGCAGCCACTGATCGCCCACTAGCCTGGGTCACTGGCACCAGGGAGGAAGAAGACGAGGAGGGCTGCTGATTACTGTTGTGGCTGGAGAAATAAAGGAAGATCAACTGTAAACAACCTTTTAGTAACAACAAATCATAAAAAGTGTCGGTACACGGAGGAACAAAGCAGTCAGACATTCTTCATCCAAGGATCGATTTAAAATAATTTGCAGTTTCTTTGCTTTCTTTCTACAGCAGTGCTTTATAATACTGGATGATGTGTTAGGTTAGGGTTAGAGACGTAGAATAGGAACACCCATCTGGTTATTTATCAATAAACGAATTCTTCTGGATATATATTGATATTGTGATATAGAATTTGTACATACACCTAATCTTACTGTACTTGTGATATAAATATAGTAAAAGATGTTAAACAGATGTCAGATTTCAGCTGGTCTTGTCATTTAAAAAAGCAGTCTAGGACACTTTTGACTAACTTGTGAACCGCGATTAAAACCATGTTAAAATAAAACCACGACAATGCTGCAATTACAGGGAACACTGATCACCAGTTTAATATTTAAAGCTGTTGTTTTTTGAGTGTTGTTATTTTTATTTTTCACAACAGACCTGTACCTGTATGTCTCAGTGGTGCTGCAAGGGCTGCAGAGTGCCGACCCCTCTCCCTGACCTCCAGTGCACAACCTGGTGTAACCTCCCGGGGCGGGGGCAGGCGGACTGACCATGAGGCCCTGCACCAGCTCTCCACCTGGGGGTAGTGGAGGGGCGTCCATGCCTGGCTGCGTGGTATCAGCGAGGTCGGGGCTCAGAGGAGTCTGAAGTCGTGCCTCGGTTGACCCCCCACCAGTCCTCCGCTCAGACTTCACAGACTCCAACTGACTCCTCTGTGCTGTTATGGTCACTGATGAGAGCGGCGCTGCCATGGCGACGGGATTCAAGTGATCTCCCGCCATGGCCACCTCAGGGTCAGCTCCACCGTCACTACCACCCCCCCTCCCTGTCTCTGTTGCCTTCCTCGCACCAGCGCTCTCTTCAGAGCGAGTGCTGTCTGCCTCAGCCAGAGGCCCTCGTCTCTGCAGTCGTCTCTTGCATACTCTCACCACCTCGTTCATGTGCAGAAAGCTCGCAGCCGCCAATATGTCTTCCACGGGTGGAGACTCATCCAACTGCAGCACGCCTTCATAGACAAAGTCCAAGAGTAAGCCAAATGCAGAAGCAGTGACGATGTCGCTGTCGAGCGTGACAGAGCTGCTGGTGCTGTTTCCACCACCGACCCCCGGAGAGTCTGAGTAGAACATGTGGAAGAAAGGCGAGCAGGAGGCCAAAACAGCCCTGTGAGCCAGGAAACGGGATGAGCCCACCAGGACGGTGCAGTCACAGAGGAAGCCCCGCTGGCGCTGGGAGCGCAGAGCTGACAGCAGCTGCTGGGAATGCTGCGGGAACTCCATTACCTGAGCAACAGAGAGGAGGAAGAAGAAGAGAGGAGGAAGAGGAATGCTGCTGTCAGTGAAATGAATCAGTACAGACAGCTCTGTAATCGGCTGCATTAAGTATCCTGAAAAGTATTTCTTTGGTAGCTCTCTTTTGCTTTCTTTGGGAAATAATGGCTGTCATCTCTCTTGGTCGGTTTACTACTGAAGGCATACAACCTCTTAGATCATTTTAGATATAACGTTAGTTCCTCTTATTCTTAGAAAAAGGAGGAAATTGTCTCAGTGTCTATAATGAAGTGTGTGCATTATCACAACTTCTGCAATTACAGGGCACATCTGAGCCCCTTCATCACGTTATCTTGAACCCCGGTCCAACACAGAGAGCTTTATCCTGTTTTATCTAACACAGGAGCACTTTTTGCTGAGTTTACTGGAACACGGGGGGCATATCAGATCTCGGCGTAACGTTAAGTAAGAGAAAAACACGTCGTAAAAATAGCAACAGCATCAACATGTTACAACCAAAACATTTAAGGACGCAAACTGTAAAATAAAGCGGGAGTCAGTTGAGAATCATCCGTTAGCGCGACTAACGTTACGTTTCCATGGTGACCGAGTGGCAGCCCGCCTGTAACGTTGACGTTACTAACGGTACCTAACGTTACAAAGACCAACACTGGCGCACAGCACTGTGTGTATAAGGTCCCATCTGACCCCAATGACGAGGTTATCTAGCAACAAGCTAGCAATGCTCCAGTTCAGCTATGCTAGCATTAGTGGGCTAAGTTAGCTCACTAATGCGTGAAACAGCCGGGGCCCATTCTGAGTGCACATAGCTCATGTTTCTGTCGGGTTGGAAAGATATCTTCTTACCCAGCTGCTGTTTGGGTGATGTTTTCCTCCAGGCTTCCAGGACAAAATGCAGTTTTTCCTCTGTGGTGTCAGCGCACCTCAGCACAGCGCCACCGCCACAGCGCCCCCTGCAGGCGGACCACGGGAACAGGCAGGAAGTGGAAACCGGCGCGTTTGTTGACTGCACTGTTGGACGACAACAATATGTCATTTCGCTGAATTAAAGTCTGTACAATTCATGGCACAATGCAGTGACAGAGGGGGGAGAGGAGGAAGGAGAGGAAATCGTGGTGGAGAGGTGAGAGATTATACTCCTATAAACTGGGATTATGATTTATTTCTTTAATAGTTCAGAGACTGATTTCAGACTCATCATGACACAAGTATTTTGCCTCATGGGCTTTCAAGCCTTATTGACTATTGACAGGGCAGACAGTAGTATGAAGTGTTTGGTAGGGTGAGGTCAAAGTCCTGTACTTAAACCAGGGCTATAATTAGAGCTGAATTTGAGTGTGTGTGTGTGTGAGAGATACCAGGACAGAGATGTCCGCCTGTCTAAATCCATGTCTTATGCACTTCGCCATGGAGCCAACCAGATGGGTCTTGACATGGGTACAGGTGAGCTGCTGGACTAAGTAACACAAATGTCTCTTCACTGATACTGTCTCAATTTCTGAGGACATATTTGATAGCAAGTAAG